AAGCCCATTAAGTCACAAGCAAAACACGCGATCACATATATCGTACACAATGATGAGTATTAATTAGTTTCTTCTCATCTTCAACAAAATTGTTCGATATATACATACGTTTCAGATCGTGAGGGTAATAAAAGCTTAACAAGAATCTTTGAAAATGGCACCGGAGCCTGAGGATGAGATCAAGGATGAGAAAAACCCTAGGCCCCTCGATGAAGACGATATTGCCCTCCTCAAGACATATGTAATTTTTTTATTTTTTTTTTTCTGTGAATCCTATTTTCTTGTGTGCTTATGCTCGTACGTTAATTGTTGGGAGAGGTGAAATTTTTGTCTTGAACCCATTTAGCTGCTTGTTTATGTGTAGACTGTAGAGAGACTAGGGGAAGGCCGCGAATGTGTAACCCCTTCTTTGGTGTGAGATTTAGGAACTAGGTTTCGAAACCCAAGTGGAATGTACGGACCTTTTAGTTTCTAAATATAGTTAAATCTTGATTAGCATGTACGGGACTTAAATTTGTAGCTTTATTCCTTAATTCTATAATGGGTTGTATGAATTTAGATGAAAGCCCTAATTTCTGTAGGTACAGCCTGCATAAAACACAACGCGTAGGGATTAGGATTGGTTTTGTATATATCTGCAGTTGAAAACTTATGCTTATTCTTATCTTTGACTTACTATGTAATTATGGCTACTTGCTAGTCATAGCTTAGTTGCTTTTCATATCGACATCCCTGCTCATAGTCTGAAATTTTTTCTTGGGATTTGTATAATGCATCGGAAATGATCTTTTACTTATTCTAAAAATGATTCCTTTTGTTGAGCCTAATGAAATGCTATATTGCTTCTGTGGAATAATGGCTACTTACTAGTCATAGGTTAGTTGTTAATCATAGTGACATCCCTACTCATACTGTCCGAAATATTTTCATGGGATCTGTGTAATGCGTTGGAACTGTAACTTTTTTCCCTTATTCTAGCAATGGTTACTGTTGTTGATTCTTATGAAATGTTATATGTAGGGTTTAGGACCTTACTCGACAAGCATAAAGAAAGCTGAGAAGGAAATCAAGGAGATGGCAAAGAAGATCAATGATTTATGCGGTATGCTAACGGTTCAAGCTATCTAATATGTCATTTGGATCAAATTTAGTCTTAACAACATTTTACTGTTTTGTGAATTATGATATTGTTAAGACTAGCCTTTTTTTTTGTTTCCCCTTTTAATGTAGCATTATTTAAGCATCCTAAACCTGCTTTTGATATAATTTTCTTGTGTTTGTATTGATGAGGATCTGTCAATTTTTACTTCGTTATAGGTATCAAGGAATCTGATACTGGTTTAGCTGCACCCAGTCAATGGGACCTTGTTTCGGATAAGCAAATGATGCAGGAGGAACAACCTCTTCAGGTAGTACTTCTATTTTCCTGAATGTATCTTGCGTTTTATATATATATGTATACTTTTGACATATAATAGTGAATTGGTTTTTACTTTTGGTGAATAGGTTGCAAGATGTACAAAGATAATTAATCCCAACACTGAGGATGCCAAATATGTTATAAACGTCAAGCAAATCGCAAAGGTAAGCATACGAGTTCAAGGAAAATAAATAGAACAATTCTAACTTGTAATATTTGAACATATCATCATGTGATCTGCTATTATATTGATAACTTCAAGATTTTTTTATTTTCGTGGTGTTGTAAAATTTATAAGTATTATATTATTGCAGTTTGTTGTTGGATTGGGTGATAAAGTTTCCCCTACTGATATTGAAGAAGGCATGCGTGTTGGGTAAGCTGCCATTTTCTGGTTTACATAGCAAGCATTATGTGTTCGCCTAACTGACGAGTCCCTTTATTTTTCTTTTGATAAACATTTAGTGTACTTTTTGGTTATTACCTCACTGTTTCAATTACATGCTGCATATGTAAAACCTTCATGGTATTTCATGACCTGTCTCATTTACTTTACCTCTTTATCAATGAATTACTTCATTCGATAAAACTGCAAGAATTACTAGATGATACCTTTCAGGAAAGTTTTTAGTTTCTTAGAGTTCCTAGCATGATAGGAAGTCTTACTCTTTACACATCACTGTTATTGCAGTGTGGACAGAAATAAATATCAAATTCAGATTCCTTTGCCTCCAAAAATCGATCCAAGTGTTACAATGATGACTGTCGAGGAAAAGCCTGATGTTACCTATAATGATGTCGGAGGATGTAAGGAGCAGATTGAAAAGATGCGAGAGGTCGGTTAAATATATTTACGTGTTGGAATTTTATCTCTAATATTTTTATTGTCATCCATTGAAAGCCATCTAATATTTCCAAAATTTGTTTTATGTAAGGTTGTTGAGCTGCCTATGCTCCATCCTGAGAAATTCGTGAAACTGGGGATTGATCCTCCAAAGGGGGTTCTATGCTATGGTCCACCTGGCACTGGCAAAACCCTACTAGCCCGAGCAGTGGCTAATCGCACAGATGCTTGCTTTATTCGTGTTATTGGCAGTGAACTCGTTCAGAAATACGTTGGTGAGGGTGCCCGTATGGTTCGTGAACTGTTTCAGGTAGGGCCGACTGAATTTCAATTTTTTTTATTTTTTTTGCTCCAATCCCGTTTCTTAATTCCCAATAACTAAATGTTGAAATTGAAAATATGTATAACATTTTTGAAAGGTGAATTTGGTTGCCTTACACCAGATTTTTGCTATTTTAGCATATCGGCTCGTCTTTACATAGAATCAACTAGCTTATTTTGCCTTTCGTCTGTTTTGCCTTTACCAGATGGCACGCTCTAAGAAGGCTTGCATCGTATTTTTCGATGAAGTGGATGCAATTGGAGGCGCAAGGTTTGATGATGGTGTTGGTGGTGACAATGAAGTTCAACGTACCATGCTTGAGATTGTGAACCAGCTCGATGGATTTGATGCACGTGGAAACATTAAAGTCCTCATGGCCACCAATAGGTTGGTTTGGCTTTTGATTCTCAATACGACTTGTACTGTCGTAGCTTTATGTATGATATCATTAAAGTAACTATTAATTTTTTTCACTTTTGTAGACCAGACACTCTTGATCCAGCGCTTTTACGCCCTGGGCGGCTAGATCGCAAGGTGGAGTTTGGACTGCCTGACTTGGAAAGTAGGACCCAGATTTTCAAGATTCACACCCGAACAATGAATTGCGAGAGGGACATTCGGTTTGAGCTTCTTGCTCGGTTATGCCCTAATTCTACTGGTAAAGTTTTATAGCCCTTTTGCGAGAGTATATATTAGATGTTTGTAATCCTGCACAAAATATCAGTTTATATATTCGTTTGGTTTACTGTGATAGAAACTTCATGGTGAACTCCTAAAAAATTTACCCCTGATACTTGAAAAGGCTTATTATGTGTCTTCCCAAATCACAGAACTCTTTTGAGGGTGTCTTTTTTTTTTCGCTTTAATTTTGGGAAGGAACTTTACTTTGGCTATGTTTGGCAAACCTAGTTCATAAGCTAGCTTATAGCCTTAAATGAATTTCGAGCTTGTAGATGATAACTTATGACTTGTGGCTGAAAAAATTAGCTTACATGATAAAAATTGTTCGGTAAAATTAGATGATAAGCTAGCTGAAATAAAAATTTCAATGGGTTTATTTCAAAAGCTACACCCAAGCAAGGAAGCTTATGAGGTAAGTTAAAAAGCTCGTCCTATCAAACCAAGAATCCATGAAGCTTATAAGTTAATCAAATAAGCTATAAACTATAGCTTATATGCTTACCAAACACAACTTTTATATATTTTTTAGATTAACTGTTCCTTGAAGGCGTAATTTCTCAAGTGAACACTAGAATTGGTGATTTGATATTTTTGGGGGGCTTCTGTTTTCTAAAATCAGGTGCCGATATAAGAAGCGTTTGTACGGAAGCTGGAATGTATGCCATCAGAGCAAGAAGAAAGACGGTCACAGAGAAAGATTTCCTTGATGCCGTTAACAAAGTCATCAAAGGCTACCAGAAATTCAGCGCCACGCCGAAATATATGGTTTACAATTAATTTTGTGTTTGCTTGGAATCTCGTGATTTTCAGTAAGGCATTCGATGGCCATAATCAGCGGATGAGATTTTCAGTAAGGCAGTGGACGGCCAAAAATTAACGGGACTTTTGTTGCGGGTGTTGGTTCTTACATGTACCAGATGGTAAAGGGTTTGGTCTTTATAGTCACATTTATGAGTTCTTATTTCAGTTCAGAACATTTTAAAGGGCCTTTGTGCTTTGCATTTCGTTCTGTACTGAATTATTGTCTTAATTGGAGTAACTTATTTGAAAGAATGGACATCAGTTTCTATTTATCTGGGTTTGGTTTAAGTGACTTCTCAAAATATTTTACTTGAACTTATTTAAGTGTATTAATTTGATGTTTAAGTGTTTTATAATTTGAAACTTCTTGAAATTTCTTATTTAGTTGGAATATAGCCGGAGGTGGGACTCATTTAATTTCCTTGAAAAAAAATTAGATGTCTTAAAAAATCTAGATAAATTTAAGTGAAATAGATTAAAAAATTAAGATAAATCCAAATGATAAATAAATCTAATAATCTAGAAAATTTTAAATGATAAATAAATACCTCAGTCACTAAAATGTCCGATGAAATACTAATGATTTTAAAAAATTTAAAATTCCAAATAAAGAGTACGTTAAAAAATACCATTAGAAAGAGTACGCTAAAAGGTACTGCATCATCATCAACTCACATCAGGTACGTAGAACCATAAGGGAAGAACAAAAGATAAATATTTGTCGAGTCAAATCTCAAGAATGAACAAATTTTCTTTCACTATTTATATGATACAACAGAATGAAACCCGACCCGGAAGACCAGCACAATGGCGACTTACCGAGAAGACACCGTTAATGGACCTTCATTTTCCGAGCACAGTTTTTCGCTTTTCTTTCTTATTTCTTCTTCTTTTTTTTTTTTCAATTCAGATGATCAAACGGGACTTGAAACCTACGGAGTATAGTCCTCAGCATCACCATTGCCAGCTCGAGTCGAGGCAGCTTCATTTCCAAACGTGCGCTTGCTCATGTTTGCGCGTTGTACCAACCGCACCAATGCTTGTACCACCTCTGACATAGGTGGCCTAAACTCGGGCTCCGGCTATACATAGAGAAAGTAAGTCAAAAAAACTAGTCATTACGCGTGATGAAGCAAAAAGTTCCAACTTTTTGGCTTTGCATTTGTCAAAATTCAGGGTCCCATTTTCAACTTTGTAGAGGGCGGTTGGATATAAATCAAAATCGATTTTGATTGGATTTTGAGTTAAAAGTGAGTTAAGTTTAAATAAAGTTGATTGAATGGGGAATTGAGTGACATTTCGAATTTGTGTTTTAAATAATATTTGAAATGTAATGAAGATGTAAAATTAGGGGAAATATTGGAGATGATAAGTAGTTAAAATTGTGTAAGTGAATGAATAATGAATTAAAATTGATGTGATGTGTGAGGAAGATTGATTAGTATAATTTAATTATATTGATAATATTGAGGAGAGTTGGGTAGGATTAAATTTGAGTTGAATTTTGAATTGAAGTGTAAAAAAAGTGACTTGGTCAGTCAAAACGGTTTTAATCTGTAGCCAATCGCCACCTAAGTTTCTTAGTTTTTTAGTGATTTTAGACTTTCTAATTTATTTAGAGTTCGTTCTTAGTTTTTTAAGATTCTTTGCTCATTTTTTTTGGTATTTTCATATTCTCAAAGTTAAATAATTTTAATCAATAGAATTTTTCTTTGGAACATATATCTTTTTTTCATTTTGAACATTTTGAAAGATATGAGTGTTGGTATGGAAACAATGTACCTGGACACAGAGGGCAATTACGTCCGCAAAACGCGAGAGGGACTTGACGGGATAGAGTCCCTTGAGAGACGGGTCGACCATTTTAGAGAGGGCATCGATATCATGGAGCTGAGGTGTTGCCCATCGGACTAAAGATTGCTCGGTTCTTGGCCTTGAACTGCAGCAAGAAGGTTTACTTGTGAATATGGACCACCACATGAACTAAAAACCCATTGAAACGACCTAGATTATATAGCTGATCGTACAAATGAATCTTAAATTTCACCGAAGGCCTTTCAAGTTTTGAATCGACTACAAGTTTAGGAGGAGGGTTGAAACTTGAAATAAACTTAAGGAGTTGTATGTTTTCAGTATTAAGGGGAAAATATTGCAAGGAGCATATATGTGCCAACCGAAAATGGGACAATTTCATAAGTAGGGCAAACATCAAATATATATATATATATATATATATATATATAAACAGCGTAAACTAGTTCAAAGGGCATTGATTTGTACCTATCGAATGGCGTGCGGCCTGTAAGAAGCTCCAACATCACAACCCCAAAGCTGTAAACGTCACTCTTAATGGTGTACTGACCGGACATTGTCACCTCAGGTGCACTATAGCCGGATGCCTGCAAAAAAAAAAGGGTAAATTTCCTTACTATCATGTAATATTTCCACAGGAGAGCCGCATGTTCGGGTAAATTACAAAAGCTACCAAAAAGTTCGTAAACAATATCTATAAAATTATGAAAGGGCATTTATAATGGTGAAAGATAGTCTCTCAAAAAAAATGAAGCAGAAGAGGCGTTTATGATTTTTTAAAATAGACGAAATATTATCATTTTATTTTTATTTTTATTTATACCTGATCTGGTTCACGGACAAGGCTGGCTAATGCGCAATCAGAAAGGTGAGGGTTGAGCTCCATGTCCAGTAGAATATTTGCTGACTTGAAATTTTTATGAATAACAGAAGGTGAACACACTTCATGCAGATACCTACAAGTGGATGTTCGTCCACAATGAGTAAAAATGCAGATTTCTTTCACAGACGTTATAAAGAAAAAAGAAAAAAGGACGAATGATATTCGGACGTAGAACTAACTAAATATCAGCAAATGGTAGTGAGATTTTTTCAAGAAAAATCTTGTTCGAAACTTACTCGAGTGCTCTTGCGGTCCCCAATGCAATCTTGACACGAGTGTTCCACGTCAAAGGCTTGTTATATTCATCAGAAAGATGCAGAAATTCGTGCAAGGACCCGTTTTTATGGAACTCATAAACGAGAAGGTGTTGACCATGCTCGGAACAATACCCAATCAGCTCAGTTACATTCGGATGGTGCAATTTCGAAATTTCAGACACAATGTCCAGAAAAACCTCTGAATTCGAAAGTACGGACGAATTTATTTTCTTCACAGCAACAACCTGTGTTTGCCACAAATAGTTAACTAAACTACTAAACATTTGAAATATGCGCGCAGCACATATTATAATAAAGGTAAAACTAATTCTCTAGAGCTTAATTACAGAAAGTTTACATCATTCAGTGATCTTACTATCCACTTGAGGCATGCGCTTGCTTAATAAATACGTACAATTTGTAAAACATAAACAAATGTCAGTAGGTACTTATAAGTTATAAGGATAATTACAAGAGAGTCTGTTAGATTAGGCTTCAAAAAACACGGACGTTTGAGGACATTATAAAAATTCGCTTGGGGTTTGATTATGTATTAAAGAATTTACCCCTTTACGAGCAAAAACATTTTAAATACCCTTATATCTGTAAAAAAGAAAATATTGCGACTTTTCTGTTAAACTCAAGGTGTTATTTTTAAATTCCAAGGACCTATAGTTTTTTTTTCCTCGTAGATATCAATTTATTCTTTACATTTGTAATCAATCCTTGTATTCTTGAACGATAGATGGATCTTTGCTTTCTTTTCTTTTCTTTTTTTTTTTTTTTTTTTTTTTTTTTTTTTTTTTTTTTTTGGTAATCCAACTTAATCGTCATTGTCTTTTTGCCTTTTTCAGAATAAGGAGCAGCTGAATCGGGGAAAAATCTCAAATTTTGATAAATAAATAAAGCAAAGCTTACCCTTCCATCATCCAATTGAGCCCGGAAAACACGTCCAATTGATCCCTCGCCAATGAGATTATCGGCATTGAAACTATCCGTTGCTATCTGCAAATCGGCAACTGAGAACAGCTTAGCATCTATTGGTGCCCTGTTCACTTTCTTCGGGGGCACAATCGGCATAACGGTTACATCATCCTCGTCAAACGACTTGTGACGATCAGAAGGAGGAGGTTTCAGGTTTATCACAGCTGGTGCTTCGAAAGATGTAGTGCTGCTTGCTGATGAAGCCTTAACAGACTTGATTTCTGCAGTTGAAAAACATTGTGTTGAATAAATAAAACATTAAAAGTAGTCACATTGTAGTTTAAACAGGATTTGATTAATTCCAAAAGTGATTCCCCGTGTTTGAACTAATTGTGAAATGAACCCAGTTAGTTCTCTTTAGGGGAAGAAAAAAAGATACCGGCTCCTCTTTTTAAATATTGTGACCTTAGTTTTTTTTTTTTTTTTT